CACGGCACACTGGTGGGCCACGGCACAGGGGTTGGGAATCACCATGTTAGACATCCATCATTGAGGAGATAATAGATTAATGGATCACAGCCGTCGGGATAATCACTGATGTAACAAATGTTTTCATTTGACTCAGAATAACAACAGAGGCCATTAAAGATAATCACATGTGTGTGTGTGTGTGTGTGTGTGTGTGTGTGGTTCAAGTATGTAACATGAAGACATACAACCTACGAGACTAATGATGACAAACGACGGTGGTACAGTGGGTTCGTGGTCGTGTGTGCGATCCATGCTGTGCTTTGATGTAACGACATCAGAGACGCTCGATAAAATATATGATGAAATCTACGTATATCATGTGTTTCTCCCTGTGCGTGTATTAAGAATATTTTCTTCACGCTCAGCGGCCTCAAATGTGGAAATGTAACGTTAACCAGTGATTCCCAACCCCTGTGCCGTGCCCACTAGTGTGACGTGAGAGATTGTTATCCAATGTCACTTAATTGGTCTGAAAACTATTATTTATTTATTTATTTCATTTTTCTTTGTTAGTCAAAGCAGGAAAGGCAGAACAATTAAATCCTCTTCTGCTAGGGGGCAGCAGATGAAAACTAAAAAAAAAGGATAATCAGAGCTGTCGAAAGAAGATCTCTGTGAGTGTCTTTCTTCAATTCCTGCCAGTATATCAGTGTTGTCTTCAACTAAACAGGATGAGGACTTTTGGTCAGATTTCTGTCTGGTGGTTTGTGGGGTTTTTCCTGATGATAAATTTGTGCCGTGGCTCAACAAAAGGTTGGAGAACCCTGATGTAAACCATACAAATTGTCACTTTGAGCCACTGCTGCACAACAAACACACAAACCTGCACTTGTGTGAAAAGTTTTATTCTAAAAAGATTTTTTTTTCTGGCTATAAAATCAGTCCTCCTCCAGCGTGATGTAAAAATGTTGTTTTTTTTTTTTCCTCCCAATAAAATGAACTTTCTTTGGGAGAAACATTCAGTTGAACAAACATTTATGTCAAATCATGTTGATCTGACGTCAGATCAACAGTCAGCTGATCAACAGTCAGTAGATCAGTCAGTCAGCTGATCAACAGTCAGTAAATCAACAGTCAGCTGATCAACAGTCAGCTGATCAACAGGTTCTAGGAACAGCACCGGCGCAGAACCTTCTTGAAAAAGTTCCTGAACTCGGTGTTAAAGACCGTGTAGATGATGGGGTTGAGGGCGCTGTTGACGTAGCCGAGCCACGTCACCACGCTCATCAGGGCCGGGGGGACG